AGTACCCTTCTAATAAAACTTTTTGTTCACGATCAGTAAGATAATTTTCAATCCAGTCCAATAAATTTCCTGCAATACCATTTTGCTTAAGCTTATATAATAATCCCTTATGCCAGACCCTGTCAAATGCCTTTGATATATCACAGAATACAAATCTTACATCTTTACCCTGGTCTAAACTGCTTATAATAGTATTGTATATCTCTAGAAGTTGATTTACAGTGGAGTCTCCAGGTTGGAATCCAGACTGATTTTTAGATAGAAGATTATGCTCTAGCATATAGTTGTAAAGATATTTAAATATAATTTTTTCCATAATCTTGCAAAGAATGCTTGTTAAAGCAATTGGCCTGTAGTTCCTGGCTCTTCAGGACTCCCTTTATTTTTATAGACTGGTGTAATATTTGAGAGTTTCCATATATGAGGAAGCTGTTTATTGGTTAATGATGCATTAAACAATTTTGCTAAGGGTGCAGTAATTGAAGGAATTATATTTTTTAGTATATGTGGAGAAATTTCATCAGGTCCAGGGGGTTTAGATGGGTTGATATTTTTTAATTGATCCTCCACATCTTGGGGTGTGATATGAATTGTGTTTATTGAATATGGTGGACCTGGCCCTTGTGGAGGTAATTGTGGTTCTGTGCTAACATCAATATGTGATATTTCTGCAAAGTGTTTATTGAGTATATTAGCTTTATCAATAGGGTGTATAAAAATTCTACCACTGGATTTTATTGGTGGGGGTTTAATAGAGAATTTAGTAATAGACTTTACAATTCGCCACCATTTCCCAGGTGGAATTGTTCTATCTAATATTTGTGAAGTAATTTTTTCTTTATAAACCTGTTTTGATTTACGTACCATACTTATTACTTCATTTCTTAAATGACGGTATTTACTCCACTGGTATTCGTTATTATTTTGTTTTGCCTTGTAATGTACTCTATTTCTTTGTCGCATCTTACATCTGATAGCACTTGTCATAAATGGTTTATCTGAAGGTCGAATGGTCACTACTTTTTTGGGTATATTTTTGTCAACATAATAGTTATATACTTTCATAAAGTTGTCATATATGTCATTAATATTGTGAGTATTAAATACCTCCCTGTCCCAATCAACATTTGACAAATCTGTGCATAGTTGTGTATAGTTAGCATTTGCATAATTTCTTATGTATCTTTTATATGAATGTTGCTTGAAAGTTTTAAAATGCAGATCAACACCAACTGGACTATGTGTGCTACAAAAAGGTGTTAAGACATTTACAGTTTCTATTCTTTCAACAGCATTGGTGATAATAAGATCAATACATGTACCTTTTGATGTTGAGAAATTTGTTGGTTTTGTAACGACATTTGACAGAGAAAAATTTTTTAACATGTGTTTAAATGCATTGTTACCATCAGCTAACATATCAAAGTTAAAATCACCTAATAAAAATATTGGTATTTCAATATTCAAAGCACTTTCTATGGATAGTGCAAGCTGATTCACAAAATCTGCTTTTGCACTTGGTGGTCTATATATAACACCAACTCAACCTATATAATTTCAATATTGGAGGTAAATATATATATATGGAGGTATATTGTAGAATGATTTCATATTGGGCAAAGCTTTTTTCAGGCCCGCCAAATAAAATTGTAAATGTTTTATACAAACATATGTTTAAACTGTACTGTGATGGAAACTTAACAAACCCATGGTTGGATTGTATACAGAAAATATGTAATATGTGTGGTTTATCAAATGTATGGTACGAACAGGGTGTCAATATGAATTATAAATTGATATTTACATTTGCAAATGTTTTCTTTTATATAACACTATTAAAAGCAATGCGTATCTATATCCGTATAAACACGGGTTCCTCGCGTCATAAACGTTCGACGTAATTTCTCAGTGACGTCATAAAGGGTCGACGCGCAATCAACGGATCAAATACGTGCCGTTGGGTTTGAAAAATAAAACATTTCACGCGTTAAAGATTATAATCAGGAAAACATAAAATATGAATAAGTCACAAATGTAAATATAAGTAATAATGTATCATTTTAAAACATCTATCGGATATAAATACGGGTTGGTACGAGATCAAATTTACCATAAAGCCCTTCGGGCTTTATGGAATTTGATCTCGTGACCAACCCGTATTTATATCCCGATAGATGTTTAAAAATGATACATTATTTCTTAAATAACTGCTATTTGAAAACAAATATTACAAGATCAATTTATTCAAAAGTGGTTTAGTGACGTAAATAATTCTTCAAAAGGACAGATTTACAGAATCTTTAAACAAAACTTTGGATCTGAACATTATATTGATAAGTTATCTACTAAATTTAGAAAAATATTTATAAAATTTCGAACTGCAAATCATCATCTGCCAGTAGAGACTGGAAGATGGTATGGTATACCACTGTGTGATAGAATCTGTACACTTTGTAATAATACTCAAACTGCTGATGAATTTCATTATATCTTAGAATGCAAAACTTTAGCTAATGTAAGAAAAAATTACCTGGGCAATTATTATTCCCACAGACCTAATGTTATTAAATTCATGGAACTAATGTCAACCAAAAACGAAAAAAGCTGAAAAAACTATGTATGTTTATCTTAAAAATTTATGATGCTGTCTGTCCTCCTTAATATATTTCCCCCTCTCTTATTTATTTATTTTTTTTATGCTTTTTGTTTTGTATATGTACCTCTGACCAGATTGTATATAATGTATATATGTTATTAATGAACCCCATGTACCAATATTTTGGTCTGGGTGAATAAATTGAACTTGAACTTGAACTCCGCCCATTAATTAAATTATCCCCGCCACTGGGACTGCTCTCTAGGATCGCTGTGGGACTGCTCTTGGACCGCTATGGGCTGCAGTGGGACTGCTCAAGCAGTCCCAGAAAGCAGTCACTGAGACCGCTCTGGGACTGCTTTCTGTCAGGTTGGGACTGGTTGGTACTGTATAGCTAGAAAATTCTACTGTTTAAGACATCTTATACACCAGACATCTATATAATCAAATGCCTGAAAATAAGGTCATCAAACATTTCATATGTATTTAAATCATCGTTTTTTACGTGGAATTCTGTAAAACCACAATCTTGTGTTCTGTACTTACATGTACATCATTTGTTTTTCTTTCATTTTCACATGATGCTCACTCACTTTCTTGATCAATCACTTTAAGTAAGAACAAAATTTATAGACATCACTGTGGCATTTTTAACTTGGGAGATTTTCTCGGATTTTTAATGACTTAAGTCACCTAAGTCACTTATGTGAACTAACTATTTCTATTTGTTTTCATCACGGCCGCAACTGACCTAAGTCGATAAATAATAGGTAGCAACTGTTCCTTCGCCATGCGCTCGGCACTTTGAAGTGAAAGTTGCGGGTCCTTCGGATGGGACCTTAAAAACCGAGGCCCCGTGTCACGGTAGGCGTTGGCACGATAAAGAACCCTCACTGCTCAATGGCCCTGAGTGCCGAGTAAAGGTCTAAAATTGAAGCCCTTCACCGGTATATGGTGACGTCTCTATATGAGTGAAAAATTCTCGAACGGGACGTAAAACAACATACAATCAATCAATTTATTTTTTCTATCGTTATTCCTCCGTTGGTCATAAAGTGTTAAACATCTCCAGCTTCATCTCTGGAACGAATAAAGCAATTTCAAACAATTTTGGTATGTAGCATGTAGCATAAATGGATACGGCGAATAAAAAAAAAAAACTAATTTCATTGTCTCTACCTCTCTGTGGTTTGCAGAGTGTGGCCAGGACTATCAAGTTTGATGCAATCCTCAAAAATCTTCTTTACTTCTGGACATCCAGCAGTCAAACTTCTGGCATGATTACATGTAATGATAAGCAATAAGCCTTCTACCAAGACAAATGTGAAATTCGAGGCCCTGGGTTCAGACACGATCCAGGTCATATATTAAAAATGAATTTGTATCTTCAAAAAAATTCTATACTCATGGACATCTAGCAGGCAAATTATTTTGATTTTAGTGATACTGTCAAATAATTTTATTTGCAAGTATTATTTTAGCGTGAATGAAAAAGGAGCTTCTTCGTGGTATTTAATAGCATAAAAAATTTAATTTATTTCGTATAAATGAATGAAAATTAAATTATAACGAATAAATTGATTAGCTACCCAATTTATACGGTTTGAACTGGGTTGGAACAGTTTAATTACGCTTTTTATATAAACCGCTTCGCAGTTAAACCTTTATCATCAATAGTTTTAAAATTTCAATTTCTTTTTTTAAATCTCGATGTAACGTAAATAATTAAAGGAAATGTGATTTATTTGAATATAACTTCTTTTGAAGTTTTAAAAAAGTTTCGTAAATTACACGTTATAAAATATTATAATTTAATTTTGTTTGTATTCTAGCCTCTGATTGGTTAATATCCAAAAAGGAACACAAATTTGGTTTGGTATGGGGACACACCACCTCGACAACCAGCTGAATCATCTATATCCATACAATCCTCTCATTTCAAGTCCTCGGGATTCATGGAAAATTCCAGATTTAATAAATGTACCTTTAACTTAAACAATACTTCGATCTTACCACATGTAAACAAACAACAAGGCTGCTAGGCCTATATATCATGATCAGTTTTTACCTCCCCTCGCTTCCCATCACTTCCGTTACTTCCGTTACTACGGTTGTATTATTGAGCGGCAAATTTGAACTAATAAAAAGTAACGAATTTTACACCCATGGTTATTTAATGATTTTAAAATTAAATTATAAGGAATGACTCTAATTCTTGGCCAAATTATTCGAGTATAACCTGGTTTGGGTCAGTTTACGCTGTTTTATAATCCGCTTCGCGGATTATAAAGCGTAAACTGACCCAAACCAGGTTAAACTCGAATAATTTGGCCAAGAATTAGAGTCATTCCTAAAATTTTATTGAGTCTCAACTTGAGCAAAATATGAATTAAGATGTACATATACATGTTAAATAAAGCAATTTTAATACAATGAATACATGCAACATAAAAGAGATATACATCGTTACACTGGCCATTCTAAGAGATATATGCGTTTTGTTTTGTTTTTTTTAAGATTTGATTGCTCAAATTTGGCAGTTAAATTTTCGCCTTTGCAATTTCTGTAATATCGTTCACACTGCAATAATGCAGTACATCAAGAAATGAATTAATTTTTTGGAGATTTTCCCTTCCTTTTTTAAAAAAAAAAAATCAAGCAAATTTCAGCCAAAAAATTTATGAATATTGTTTTTTAAAAGAAATGAGCAACCGCAAAAAGTTGCTGCTTAGCGTGACGGTAATTCTTTGTCGCATTAGTGCATATAAGGATAGGGTTGCAGACACTGTCGGAAATCTGTTCGGATGAAGTTCCTCGGGTTTATTCGATAACGTCTGAGAAAATTGTAGATTGACCTCAACGCTCTAACATTGGGATTTCTCGGCTCTCGTAGTAGGATGTAGGCATTTTCTGTAAAAAATAAATAAATAAATAAATAAAAAATAAATATATAAATGAATAAATAAAAATAAAATAAAAAAATAAAAAGCTGTTGATATCAAGTCAAAGTAATCTGAATCATGATAAATTAGTGGATCTCACTAAAGATTTTGACATCGAAATCCGACCCAAGCTATCCTATTTTCCGGATTTTTATAAGTTATAAGGGATATTTTGGGTTTTCATACAACTGTTGAATGCCTTTAGGTTACACTATCAACACACTAAGTTCACCTCCGTAATAATGATAATTAGTCTCATGCGATATTCCGATAATTCAAATTTAAACCTATGAAAATACATTGTATAAAAAATGAATTTTAATTCATGAATACATATATACTACCTCATTTACCTTGCTTGCCTTCTATAAAATCTAACAGGACTTCAGTTCCATATTTGTCTTTAAAAGAAATTTAATGTCCAGGATTGCTGTATTTATATGTGTTTTTCTACTTTTACCAGAAAGATTTCTGTGAAATGTGTTAGTATGACTGTGATATTTTCCTCATAAATACATCTTAAAATATAGTGTCAACACTAGTATAAGCTTAGTTACTTGTCTATACTGTAATAACGTCATAAAAGGTACATATTTGGTGAGTGCAAAGAACAACACAGATAGAGCTCGACAATTGCAACTGCTCGGGCCTTTCCTACAAGCTAACCAGAAGTCTCTGATGAGACTGTAGCTCTACTGGTCTGTACGCATAACAAAGGAGAAGTAGCACTTATTTGAAACTTTGCAACATGCAGCAATAAATAGTATTTTGTATCTTAATGTAGTCTACTTATGTGCCAAGTTAAATTGAAATCAAACAAAAACTGTAGGAGGAGTAGCATTTTGAAAGTATTTCACAGAAATGTCTATTTTAAGTAACCATGACAACACCATTCACTGAAATCAAAAACCAATGTACACTATTATGTATCGTAGTGTAGTCTAATAGTGTGCCAAATTAGATTGAAATCAGACCAAAACTGTAGCAGGAGTAATGTTTTAAAGGAACATTCATTTTCTATTTTTAGTAACCATGGCAAAACTGTTCATCAAAATCAAAAAATAAATTCATCTGTTATAAATCTTAGTGCAGTCTACTTGTGTGCCAAGTCATATTAAAATCAGACTACAACTGTAGGAGCAATTGCGTTTTTAAGGAACTTCACAGATATTTCTATTTTTAGTAACCATGGCAACACCGTTCATCGAAATCAAATACCGATGCACTAAATTATGTATCTTAGTGTAGTCTACTTGTATGCCAAAATATATTCAAATCAGACCAACACTGTAGCATGAGTAGCGTTTGAAATGAATTTCACTGAAATTTCTATTTTTAGTAACCATGGCAACACTGTTCATCGAAACCAAAACACTGATGCACTAAATTAAGTATCTTTATGTAGTCTACTTATTTGCCAAGTTATATTGAAATCAGACCAAAACTGTCGGAGGAGTAGAGTTTTAAAGGAATTTTACAGAAATATCTATTTTTTAGTAACCATGGCAACACAGTTCATCGAAATCAAAAACCGATGCACTAAATTATGTATCTTCGTGTAGTCTACTAATTTGCCAAGTTATATTGAAATCAAACCAAAACTGTAGGAGGAGTAGCGTTTTGAAAAATTGTTCACAGACAGACAATTACACAGACGGATGAACGACGGACACCTTACTATCGCATAAGCTCTTCTGGAGCTAAAAAACAACCTCGAATCCGTTACGTAGAGTACATGACAACCAATCTTTTCATAAACATTGAAATAAATGTAGGGAAACTTATTTGTAGTGTCTGGAGCTTAACTTCATTGAATGTAAAGATATTACCTAAAATATACTACAGAAGGGACACTCAACTGTTGTCTATCCACTACTTAAATGAAGAGGAAGTTACTCCATTTTGTTTAAAATCTTAATATCCGGTTATGTAAATTTTCCGACCTCGCGGGAAAGGCCGAGAAGATGCGATTCTTACCTGATTTACTCCGTCCTTCCTGTCTGCAGGAGTAAACAATGGCGAAGTTGTTATAATCTGTTTTAACAACCCAGTAATTTCCATTAGGGTCAACAGGCTGGACTGAAAATATACATATAGATAATAAAAAATGTAGAGTACTGATTTTTTTGATTTGTTTTTGTTTTGTTATGTTTAGCACATGCACTTGTGTCGTGGGGCACCCCTAACTAATTTATTACCACAAGGTATTTAACTGGGACAATTTCAGGCACCCCTGCTTCATGCAAGCTCGTATTTTGTTAATATATTGATTATTAACCTACTTTAAAATGACATCGTTCGCTTCGAGAGACTTTTTTCTTATCAAATAAATCGTTTCAGACGTCTCTAGTCGAGTCTCTTTATTGTAAACCACGCATTTATTCCTTGAAAATTACCTCGATACATATAATTAAGACTTTAGATGGGATACAAACTTCCGGTAGTGGGTAGGATAAAACCAAAGATCCTCCATTTATAAACCCAACCGGAAGTTTGTATCCAATCTAAAGTCTTAATGCATGTATGTATCGAGGTCAATCACAAAAGAGAGGAAGTGCATAGTCCGAAGACTGTAAAATTCTGTATACATACATCACGTACATCTATGTAATAAATTGACTGTAGTTTTAATTTGAATGTCGATCAGTAGAGTGCATTTTCTCCAACTTGTTTTTTTTTTTTTTTTCATTTTGAATTTTGTTTAGTTTATAATGATTCAAGTTATACTACTAATACTAATAAATCAATTTTTAAAAAATCATTGTCTGGATTAAGACATGTGAGCAGTATGATATGTTACAATAACAAACAGAAAAAAGCGGTGCACTTACAAGGAGAAAATGTGACGGAAAGTCTCGCTGGGTCTCGTGGATTCACAGCTCTAGCGGTACCTTCTACACGAACAGGCTCACCAGTACTAAAATATTAAAAAGAATATAAATATCATAATGTGCTCAGGCCACAATCCCGTAATTTATAACTTAAGAATCGCTTAGAATGATTGATTTTTTTTCTGTTTGATAATAGACATGATAAAGGTGAAATTCACCGTTTCACATTAATTTTGAAATTCAGAAAGATGTTTTTGATGGCGTACATCTATGTAAAAAAAAAATGTGGGTTTTTTTTAAATCCGTCCTTAAATCTTGTGAACTTTTCAATAAATTAAAGTAATTATGAAAAAGTCCTTAGTTTGCTGAGTTCAACATAAATTGCACGCGAATGTGTTTGCGTGTGTAAAGGAGGGGGGGGGGGTGAAAATAGCTTATACCTGTAGTCTTCAGCCCTAGCATAATTTCGGGTTTTAGGACAAGAGAAAAGGATGACATCATTCAGCAAGATATTAAATGGTGTCCAGTCTCACCAAGGACATTGAACGTCAATTACTGACAATTAATTGTACTGAGTTAATTAATATACATCTATTCTGACAGCTCTCAGGGAACGGCAGGCTTTGAAAGAAACAATGTACAGTATATGTTTAACATCCCCAGAGGAAAAAAGAACTTGTAAATTATGTACTTGCAATGAAATTGGGGATTAATTTCCTTATTTATTTAAATGTACAGATGTATCTACAATGAATTTAAGAGATGTGTACATTTATTTACTAAAATAGTATCAATCGAATCCACTTGGAATCAACTTGTTAAAATTTGTTGTAAATTGTTAGTAATTACATTTCAGTGAGTTGGATCTTTTGCTTAATTACGCTCTGATTATAACATGTATCCCTGAAAATAACGTTCATTGTATTGTACAAACATGGGTATTTATATAGGTCACAATGTTCATTAGAGTGTTAAGATTAATTTAAGAAATGAATTTAATTTTTGAGAATTCATGAGAACATGAACTACGCCGCTTCACGCCGGCATACATGTATTTTATGAAGCGCGTTATCGCTTCATGATAAATATGCAGATGTGAAGATACCTCATGAATTCTCATAAATTAAATTCATATCTTATATTTACATTATTTTTCTGATGACTTGCCACATATTTTTGTCATTCAACGATCATTTTCGAAAAAAAAAAAGTTTGCACTATTTTTTGACTACAGTTACATCAAAATGGAAATATTCTTACTCATCCTATGGTAGTTCATGAGAATGTAAACGTTTTCTTATTTGCAAATAATCTTAAGAAAAAAAAAAATATTTGGAAATGTAAATATTGTGGGATTAGATAATTTGAAGGAGTTGAGGAAGATATCGTCATTTCTATTCAATGGAAATAAATTCTCTGCCTATTAAATGTACTAAATGTATTTCTTTGTAATTTTGACAATTTTTTAACAGAAAATTTTAAAAGGGCATTCATCACTAAAAAAAAATATAACTTTATACGTGCCAATTTACTTTAGGCCACACCAATTTAATTTCTTGTTCGTTGGACATTTGATGAAAAAAGTACGAGCGGACAAGCAGTTAAATAATAATATTATTTCTTTTTTAGCAGGCAAATTTTTTTAGGCGGAACGTGAAAAATTTTGAGCTGACAATTATATTTTTTCCTGATTTGCAGTGTAAGCAGATTTAAAATACAAAAAATAGAGCGGAAATATAATGGAATATAAAATAGCACAGAATTTCCGTGGTGCGGGAAATTGAAATTAATATTATTTGTATAGTTTTGCTTAAATACGAGCGCGCGGGTCCGACGAACAAAAAATTTTATTGGTGTAGCCTTAGTGACATAATTGGAACTGGCAGTTTTGCTTTGAGCGCATTTCATTGCATCATATAATTGCAACAACAGAAATTTGAAGAGGATAGGAAATAGCTGCAGAACTGTAGCTCTCCGTAAAAAAAATTATACTGACAGTCGTCCATCCCATTTTTTTTTTCAGACCAGCTAGCAACAGATCTGCAGCTAATAGAAAAGAAGTCTTAAAATTAACATATATTAATTCTCTTTCATAATCTTTTTTCCCCTTTTCTGTATTTTTTCTTTTTTCAGTTTTAATATGGCTTTACGTGTGTACAGTTCAACATCGGTTTCTGATATCTCGAATACCACGGATACGGCGAGATGAGTAGGAAATCCCAATCACTATTTGATACATGTATGTATTTTACATCGATATCTCGAATATTCGAATACCTTTATTTTTCTTGCATTATTGAATTCGAGATAACGATATAAAATTTATCACCCCATTTCCATTTTACCTTTCTTGAACTCCTGTGTTGACAACCCGGATTGACCCGTCATCGTTTCGGGTGTAACTTGCTTGTGAACACGTGACCCCGGCTTGGGCCGCCAATGGGAACCGCTCGAACTCGTACCAAATGCCTAGATACTGAAATAAAGTTATGATCTTTTTTGTAAATATATTATGCAGTAATAAAATGCAGATGGTAGAATTTAAGATATAAGTCAATAAATTTAGTTATGGGAAAAGAAAATAAAGTTACTCTTTATTTATTGTCTTAAAATTATCCTATTTTTAGTATCTTAGATTATGAGGCATGCAAAAACTCCCTTTATGAAAATAGGGAAGTCAATAAAAAAAAACCCACATCTAGATGTATTCATTTGAAATTGGCGCATTCTTATCAACTTTAGAATCCCGTCATTATCACCAATAGTACATCCCTTTCAGCCCCCCCCCCCACCCTCCCCCCGAAAGATGGGGTTAACAGGTTAAAAAGTTTATAAACTGAATGAGAATGACAAATTACTCTATTTGTAAACGCAGCAACTATATTATATGTACTTCATATTTTGTATATATCAATATATATTCTCTGTTATAAATCTTAACAAAAGTGAAATAATTAAAAGTTTTTTCTCCCTTTCTTCATCCACTCCCCCTCCCTTCTTCTCCCTCCACTGAACTGTGATTCCCCCACCCGGTCTGCCCTCAAAAAGAAATGACATGCATGAAAAAACTACAGCCAAACCTCTGATCTCGAAACTAATGGGACTAAGAAAACACTTCGAGATATCCGAGAATCTGAGATTAAATGAATAAAAAGTCGATAGGACTTCCAATGCAGTTCGACATATCCATGTTAATCGGGATATCAATATCCGGGATACCGAAATTCAGTGGAGTAACCTTGTCGTGGCATCAGATGACGTTTTTGTGTCGGGTCAATACTTTAATCATTGTTCATTGCGATTCACTTACTAATATAAGAAAACTATGTGATTTTGACGAGAGAAAAAAGGTGAAGGACCTTTTGTCATAAAATTTAAAAAAAGTAGAAAAAAAAAAAAAATAAATGATGTAGAAAATTTACTTAATATTATTTATGTTCCCAATCACGTGCATTCAATACCTAACAGTGGACTGGAAAACGCATAATAAAAAAAAGTATAAAGTTGCAGGAGCAAAAGATGGTTTTAAAAAAATGCTTGCCGCTTGCTTAAAATGTTACAAAATAACAATCCAATTTACATACAAATATTGTAAAATGTCACTACGTCCATCTGCCCTTAGGGGGTACATGTAAGTGGCCTTGTCAAATATATTAATTGCGCGTCTGAATACTACAACTTCAGTTTGTATAGAAAATGGAGGACTAGATTCTCTTTGCGCTTTGAAAATATATTATCCTTGCCATTTATCAAACGTAACTGAAAGAGGTAATTTTTCAAAGTGAAAGGGGGGGGGGGGTGATCGAAATAAGTTTTTTTTGCGGTAAAATATCACAAGGACTGAAATTTTTGTACACAGAAAAGCGTGAATTTTGTCTTTGGTTGATATTTAATTTTTTTTTTTTAAGAAAATGAGAATGAGATTTAAATTTGAAGAAATTAAATCAAGGAAAAAACTTTCAATTTTTATTGGAGTTAGTTTCATATTAAATAACATTTCTTTATGGCTCATTTCTACGCTTTAGCACAATTGCTGCTTACAAAATTTAGTAAATACAAATTTGCAGAAGACTAACAAAAATGAGCATTTTAAAATTAAACAAATACATGTATCTACATGATTGTACTTTTATAAATATAAACAAAATGAGTAGGTGTATATGTAAGAATCATGTTTAGGCGTTTTATCAATTCAAATGTTTAGCATTAAATAAATCAATAATGTGGGATAAAGAAAGCAATAGAATTCAAATTAAAGTTTAAACTAAAATTAACTCACAAGTCCCACATTAAATGGACGCACAGTGGGAATTTTGGGACAAAAACCTCGGCTTGTCACTTGTCCACAAACTGAAGAAAAATACAGAGTTATTCCGAAGAGCAGCACGGCGATGTTCATTTCTGCTGAATGAAATATGTCACTACTATTCAGAATCCTTTTGATTTATATATACTTGTCCTAACGGGGGCCCAGACAGGTGTTCCAACAGAATCCCCAGGGCCTTCATAAAATGTCTGATGCACTGTCCTTTTCAATGTTGATGCACTTAAGAAAAACAAACCAAAACAAAAACCAATGGTTTGAACACAGGCGCATTTTTTCCTATTCATGCCTTAGTGTTAAAAAAAATCACATCTTGCTTGCTCTGAAACTAAAAAGTACACTTTGTCATTTATTTCAATTAATTAGCATTTTTACATAAAAGAAATTATCTCACGTGTGTTGCATCTTATGCACGTGTGACTGAAATAAAGGTTAAATTCTATAATTTGAATACCACAAGAAAAACGCAGTTTTTAGTATAGTCCTTAAAAAATGAATTCAAATTCACAAATTGGAACATGGTAAATTAGTATTTTTGCACCACGCGATCCTTTTTGGATGATGAAGAGGAAAAAGGATCGATTAGAAACGTGCTTTAGTATTAAGGCTCTGTTCTTTTCTGGCATAATATATTTCTAAATAAAATCTACAACATTACTACAATTTTGCATTTCAAAAAATCAAACTTTCCTTAAAGACTGAAATTGTCTAATTTCCAGAAAATACATTTAATGTACCAGAATTACTCTGTGAATTCAATGAAGGGGAGTCGCAAGAAACTAGACAGTGATTTGTGGTGACTTCAATAAAAGTGCAATTTTCGCTATTCATGAATATTCCCCTGAGAGTAATGGGGAAGGGCAGCTTTGAGAGATGGATCCTAAATTTCAAAGGTTTTAAATGAAAATTAATCAACCATTATACGTGCAGTTAAGGTGCATCATTGAGGGAGTTAGAAAGATTCCAGTTTCCCAAGGTCGGGACTTCTTCCCGTGGCGAAGCCGAGGGAAAAAGTCCTGGTCGACGGGAACTGGAATCCTGCTTACTCCTTAATGATATACTTTTTAAGTGTTTTTATTATACCGATTACAGATTTCGGAGCAGAGATTAGCTCACTAGACTAACGCATGGAAAAACGGGAATATTAGTCCATTCAGAGAAATTTCTAGGGAATTATTCACATCTAACGATTTAATTTTATGTAGGGAAAAATCAGTAGAGGTATAAAAGTAACCTATTTACAATAATCATCAATTTTATATAGAAGCTTTTTCATTATATATACAGTTTTCTGGATAATGAAGATTATGATGTAAATGAAAAAAAAGAGTAAGGATGTAAATGAAAAAAAAGAGTAAGGAATTAAATATGCACGCACTTTAGATTGATTGGAGTAGGAACAATTAACGTTAACTTACGATTAAATCAGTCTGTCCTGAATTGAACTATACGATGCTAAATGACCGATTAGTACATTCGTTACATTAATGAGTCATAAATCACAACAAAGCTACGTCACATATTTTGAATCAAAATCGAGAACAAAAATACATGTAGGAAACGTGGGTTGTATGTGCCCCCAGTCCCCCCCCCCCCCCCACCGGCCCCGCGCTCAATAATTTTGCCAATATATATCATATAATAGAAAATCAATGCTAATCTACACTATATAATAATAATTATAATAATAAAAATAATAATAATAATAATAATAATAAAAATTGCCATTTTTTGGTTTGTGCCCCCCTTCAATAATATTATCTATTTATCTTTTTTTTAATCACTTTTATTTATTCATTTATTTATTTGGGAATTTTTACTTCTCCATTCCCACTCCCCATATCTTTGTTTCGTAAATTAAAGCGCACTTTATTTTGTAAAACTTTTTTTTAATTGTGAACCCAAATGCTTCTTTTACCACTCAAATATCAAAGCAAAATTTGGAGACTGAAGTCAGAGAGAAAGGGAGAGAAAGAGAGAGAAATTCAATACATCTCAACGATATACAATAGTAATAAACTTCTTTATAATTTTTGAATAATTTGAATATCTTATTTTATTATTGAAAATAACATTTCTTATTATATAGTCTATAAATAGTCCCTATATAATCTATACAAACGCAAACAGTTCATAACATTACATATTCACTGGATTTGAGACCGTATTCACCGGAGGGTCAGTGCTCGTGCAGCGGCATTGTGACATCACAATCAATACCTAAAGCAACGTTGAAAACAATGGTTGCAACGGCCGGAGCCAGCTGTATATGCTGTATATCTGAGCAGGAAAACTTTTAGGCAAATTTCTCGCAGGATTATTTTCCAAAAATTTCGATGTCTCACACACAGCAAAAGGAAAACACGGAAGTTATAAGTTATAATCTGGACATTTTTTTTTTAGTTTTCTACGACAGAAGTTCGAAGTTCGTTAATGAAAATGGAGTCGTCATGCAGCCTTCAATGTCTTATTCATTCAAATCCTGACTATATAATAAAACAATTATGGACTCCTTCGGTGGTGAATATGGTTTGTTATTCACCACCGAAAGAGTCCATAATTGTATATGACTAAGTGTATCTTATACACTGTTAAAATGTATTTTACAAAATTCAATTTGTTTAACTTTGCTGACAATGTACTATTTTAAAATTGAAATGCATTAACAGTAAATCTCTAACAGAATTGATTAATTTTTTTTCAAACGAATAACAAACTACCTTATCCCTACCTGTTTTGACGGATTTAATATAAGGTAATTTTGTAGTGTTTTAACAGTATTTGTTTTTCAAGATGAATTCTCCTCAATGAGCCCTAGCATTGACATTAGCTTTATTCCTGTGATCGTTGTACCGTCGCTCAAAGGGAGATAATCTGAGTACATCCAGAGTTACCATATGCAAATTTTACAACAATACAGCTAAGCATTTAGGGGATAAGTATAAATTGGAGATTTCTAGAGGGTGGACCTGGGTTAATATTTATTTACTTCAATCTTGACAGAGGTATTGGAAGCCTAGCGGAAGACAACTCTGGATAGACAGCGAAGTACAACTTAAAGCTCAGTTTCACGTATTGATATTTTTTTTTTTTTTACACAAATCTCAGATATTTTAATACCTTCTTCTAACTAATGTGTTACCTGTATAAATCAGAATTGTGACTGAGTTAATTGTCTAAGACCAAAAAAGTTGTAAAAAACATTCTTTAAAATGTTTGACGATTCATTTTTTGTAGGAATAAAGATATAGCAATTGCAAAGTTGTGGGAGAAAAATTGCACATGCTCAGTGATGTTAAAAACTCTATATATGAACAAAACAAATTCCCTATTATTTTCTGTTTTGAAGAATTTAATACAATGTAGGTAAAAATACGGTTCTGTCCTCAAGCCTTCTGCAACGTTTAGTAGGCATTGCTTTATCTATCTAGAAATTATAACCTTAATGTCCAGAACAACAATTGGTAGCAGTTAAAATTTCTGAACAGATAAAGAGATAAAAGGAAGTTAACCTTTAATTTTTCTTTTATGACATTCATTTCCTTAAATGTGACCCATTATTTTGCTTCATGCAGTCTTCTGCCAAAAAAATGATTCTAAAGAATCCATAGTCTGCAAGAGTTTAAGTAACTCCTATCCTGTATATTTTACTTTCCCTTTGAGAAGAAGGTGGACATGGCCTCTTTACACCTTTCCTGCTACGCATTTATAGGTAAAATTTCCATTATCATAAATAAGTTTATTTTTTTCAAACCTCTTCATTCCATCTATGCCCTTAAATTAGCCCATTCCATCCCTTATACATCCCAAGAATTTTTTAATGAAATACTCTCTATTTTTAAACTGGCACTACTTGCGTGGTCAAAAAAAGGGTTAAATTAGTAACTGAAATAGGGGTAAAATTAAATACCTGTGACATACTTTTGCTTTCTAATATCAAATTGAGGATCGCAGTTTTCAACATTTACTTTAATTTCTTTTTTGTTTTGTTTTTTATTTATTCTTTTATTTTCTAATATATGTATTATATTTTAATTTACAGTTGAACTTCAGTATCTCGAACACTGCTATTTCGAATACTATGGATATGTCGAGGTGATTGGGAAGTCTTAACCACGTTTTTCTTAAGTATTTTACCCTCGATATCTAGAACCCTGGATATCTCAAAGTTTATTCTCGGTGCAATTGTCAAATATTGTTCAATTATTATAAACAGTTTATACTGCACCGAAGAAAACTATGTCATCCTTGCTACAAAGATTTATGTATTATTTGTTCTAATGTTTGAGGTGCATCACTCCTGTGATGTAGTTATTGATTAGAACAAATATTTCTCAATTGTTTGTGTTATAGTTTTATAAATGTCCATCTGCATCTTTGTTCACTGTATTTTTTATGAATGACTAACAATGCTACAGCCTAATAAAATACCAAAACACTAGCCATTATATTTATTCTTTCGACTGTAAAATTGTCATTTTTGTGAGTCATGACACTCTGTAATTTGTTGTTGAGATATAAAAATTAAAATTAAAAAAATATCTTATACAATATCAAATTTGTTTTAGTTACTTTACTCCAAATTTATTTTTGAAAAATAATAACTAGCCTACATCTGACAGATGCTATCAATTGCAATTAAGAGGCCGGATTCCTCTGCTTGATAAGAGATCGATGCTCTACCAGAAATCTTCTTACACTACACTCATTAATTAATGTCTACTTTGACATGCAAATAATTTGTCTGTTATCAAAATTCTCCTTGAAACACCATAAGACCATTGCTTGATAATAACACCCATGGGAGAAAGTGAAATTTCTCTTATCATTGACACAAAAGAAACATTATATTTGTTACATATTGCTGTTAAGAAAATCATGAAAAAATTTGGATGTTCTTGATTTAACATATTTTAATGTTACTGCTTTACTCTCATATCTGTTGGAATTGTGTAACTTAAAAGTTAAAAACATAGTTTTGTATAGAATTTCACCTAAATTAAAGATCACAGTGACTTCTAATCGCATTAATTGACCAAGTTTGATGATTCTAGGTCTAATAGTTTTCTAGTTTTGAGCCGAACAGGATTTTGCCATGTTTGGCCATGTCGCCTTAATTAAAAGTCACAGCTATCTACTTTTAGTGTGTGGCATCATAGTATTGAATGAAATATATGGAGGTAACGAACAGTATTCAAGCTCAAATGTACATTAAACAATACAAATCAGGAGCAAGGCAAGCACGGACCTCTAAAATGTCAGAAGTGGGATCAAGTGTCATGGAGGAGTGAGCATCCCCTGCCGACCGGTCACACCCGCCGTGTGCTCCTTGTCATGATCGGGAAATAACGGAAAATCCGTCGACAATTCGGTGTGTAAATAATGGCCTAACAATAAGTATGAAAAACGTCAGTCAGCATTTGACTTAATGATAGATTGTATTTGCTGACAGTCATTGTATCAAACATAGAACTTACGAAATGATGACTTTAAACGAGACTACTGATATTCTTGTTTTATCAACTTGTTTGTCAATAAATTACCTCGTTTTAGAAATAGCATGCTCTCACGTATCGAATCAACTGAGAGATATAAACGGTTACCCCGTATGCAGGTGATAAGGGTATATTGCTGCATAAGTAAGGGATGGTGACGTGATGAGCCGGACATAAAAAAGCTAACAGACAGACAGACGGATTGACATAAACACCATACCATAATACGTCACATCTTAAGATGGGCCTACAAAAATAAAAGGCGTATAATGTTCTCTGAAGAATTAAGTTCCAATTAAGTTCCTAGTTTAAATTTTGAACCTTAACAAGAGGCCCAAGGGCCTTAACGGTCACCTGAGTATAAAACAACAATCCATAGAGGATAGAGTATAAAATAAACTGATTGAAGAAGCTTTGTTGCCAAAAAGCAAGAGTAAGAGGATGATCGAGATCATCGGAATAATTAGTCCAGTATTCAGTAACAACTCATAAATTAAGTTCTGTCCCCCATTTAGATTTTTTTTTTCTGTAAGTTTTATTTTCTAATTATGGCCCCATCCTACCCCCGGGGTCATGATTTGAACAAACCTGGATCTACACTACTATTTAGTACCTGAAGATGCTTTTGTATTAAATGACTAATCATGGCTTTGTTGTTCTTGAGATTTTTCAAGATTTTTCCCTATATATTCCTAACCAAAACTTTGATCACCTGCTGTGTACCCTCCCTACCCCTGGGGGTTATGATTTGAACAAATTTGAATTAACATTACCTAAGGATGCTTCCATATAAATAAGACAAATCATGGCTTTGCTATTCTAGAAGAAGATTGTTAAAGATTTTTCCTCTGTATTCCTGTGTAAATCTTTGATTGTCCATTGTGGCCCCACCCTACCCTGGTGGTTATGATTTTAACAAACTTCAGTATACACTACATGTACCTGAGGATGTTTCCGTATGTTTCATCTTACCTAGTCCAGTGGTTCTTGAGAAGATTTTTAAAAGATGCCATTAATTTTTCACTAATTCTTAATTATCTCCCCTTAGAGGAAGGTATGGCCCTTCATTTGAACAAATTTAAATCATCTTTATTCAAGGATACTTTGTGGCAAGTTTGGTTTAAATTGGCCCATGGTTCTTGAAAAGAAGTCGAAAATGTGACAAGTTTACGCACGACGCACACCCGCACGACGACGGACGAAAACAGATAGCAATAGGTCACATGAGTTACTCAAGTGACCTAAAAATTAAGAATCCTTTCCTCAAAGTCGTTGACATTAATTGCCTCGCACCACTCTCATGGGCATTATAATGATTAGCATTAAAGTTCAGCCTAAATTTACAAGGGAGAAAATCCAGAGTATGCAATAACAATATGACCCCCCCTGATATCAGCTCCCAAACTTGATATGGTATCCTGATAGTACTGTACTGTATTCCAGAATATTTACATTTTAAAATGTCTCTGTCTGATATAAAACTGCATATAAGGTAATAGCTTTACATCCTCATAACGCGATTTGCTCAACACGTGGCAGAACTCGCATAAAAAAAAAAGAAGTTATTCCTTGAAAAAACAAAATGTGTGAACTCACTCAATACATGTACCACTAAAAAAAAAAAAATTACATACACCACATGCATCGTTCTTCCCAATGATAAAAAAAAAGTCAAACATGTAATTAAAAGCCAAGTTTAATTGTCTAAAAGAATAATCACAAATAATATAAACGGAGATAGAATAAAATATGTATCCTAAAAATTAAGTGTGCTAAAATTATTTACACATTATATTCAGCTTATACATTGGTTATATACACATTTAACTAAAAATAAAAACTAAAAAAAATTAAAAGTCAACAAGTATATTGCTTCTGTACATGGTTAAGACGAGATGAAATAATATATAACAAAAGCGATTCAGTCATCTGTAAGCTATTTGCTAAAAAAGTCTTCCTTTTCATGATATCTTTCAGTTGGACATTCTGCAATGACTGGTAAAGATCATTGGGGTGGGGTTGGGGGAGGGCTGTCACTATAGTGGGGTACAGGGGTGTGGGGGGAACAATGATAGATAACCCATCATGGCTTTGTTTTCAGTATTGGAATCAATATATTGATTATGTTCAATAAGGTTAAGGGTCATTTAGGGTGGGAGAGTGGAAGGTCATTTGGGTGGGGTTTGGGGGCCGGGTTGGGGGTATTAATGGTACATTTCTACATCAACAATTACAACTGAATCAATAGATTATGGGTTTCATTTGAACTCTAGCTTACTTTTCCTTTATAAATAGTTAGTGTCTATTAAATTACTTCTAAAAATAAACAGCAAGAAAAAGTCTTAATTAACCTGCATTGAAATTGCCATTAGACAATGCAATAAATTATTATCAAATATTGCTTGTTGAACTGTAGCTTACTACTGAATTTATAACAGCCCACCCTCCTCCTTCCCTTTCAAAACTTCCATCATCTTTCTTGCAAATAGCTTACAGCTAAAGGAAAGTTTACATTTTGATTTTTCTCTATAACACAAGCACGCAAGTTTCAAAAGCTTGGCCAAATATCTACATCAGATTTACTCTAAACTAGATGGACTTGACATTGAAAATGATTCATATATAAACTTAAGGGCCCTCTATACACTAATAAAAATGTTTTTGGACATTAAAGAAATAAATATAAATATGCAAGTATTAAGTTTATCAAATTCATTCTTAACAAGAGTATTAGTTTTTAGTATGGATGAAAAGAAATCACTGATTCTTTCTTAAGTGGTGAAAAATACAAACAAATAGGTGAAAAATACATTTAAATAAAGTGTTCAAATTTGAAATTATCATGACTTTATACCATGTTAAGGATGCTGAATGGATTACAAACTGAGTAATCCATTGTAGACTTCAACTGATATAAGATCTAAGAGCAGATCACTCCAACTGCAGAAATATACCACTGAATTAGAACTCTTTAGTGTGTAGTGTGTAGAGGGTCCTTAAGGAGAAGCCCTATGCTAAGAGAGACAACTAAACAAAAACTACATGTATTTTTTTTTCATAAAATTTTTTGAGGAAGATTTTAATTTTTATTTTATATTCCTCGTTACTATGAGCTAAATGTTGCACTCCCATAATAAAAATCCAAAAATTTCCCTTATAAGAAAAATGTAGACCCCCCCCCCCCCCCCCCCCCGCATCAGAGGAATGGCAGTGAGAATTTAAATGCTGTTCATATTTTTATTGATGTATTACACACACAAATACGACTATGAGTTTATATGGAAAAACTGTGAACTCCATGCTTAAATGTTTATAAATATTCAACAAATTGGGGTGAGAGGGGAAAAATGGTTTTCTGAGATCTATCATAAAATGTATCTGCTAGTAGTTTATAAAAAAAAAGAAAAGAAAATGTCTGCCTTTCTTTTTTGCAATATCAAGGCTAAGAAAATATTTCTTCTCCCAAGTTCAAAATGCAAACTCCTCTTAATAATAATATATCTGTGATACAATGTTAAAAAAAAAATGGTCGCTGCCTTACCATTGAAAAAAAAAAAACCCACAATACTACCTAGATGTTAAGAATAAAAATTAAAGACATGCATTTTTTAAAATCATTTCAATAAATAAATTAATGGTTAGTGGTTTTGTTTTTCTTTCATAACACTTCAAAATAACAAATACATTTACATGTACTACAGGAAATTTTGCACTGACAAAGTATAATAGTTATGTACAGCGTTTCTGTTCCCTCATAATAAATGGCAATTAAAGACAACCCTATAGTAGAGAAATTCTTACATAAAATCACTAAGCCAATTGTTTGATCAGGGAACAGGAAAATGTCTTTTGCTTACTTCCTTATCTTTTTTTTTCATTTGTATCTATTTTGTCTCATAATAATGCTCAACAAAAACATTGATGTGAATGTACAAACTGTAACAAATACTGTGATTTGTGTAATACAGAAAAAAAAGGACAGGCAAGCACATTGAAATATAAGTCATGATAAAATGGAAAAAAAAGAAGAAACAATTGACTGTATAATTACTATGTACAAAAACATAATCCATTTAATAAAGTTTCAAATAGATATTATTCGATTTTTTATTTCAAAGGTGAAAAATGAAAAAAATGAAACTTTCAAGTTACTGCCAATGAAAAATATTTTAACAATATCTACATAGACAATTTCACACAATAAATCTGTACTTAACAAAAAAATTCTATTCACATACATTTTTCTCCAATTCATTCACCAATAAAAATTTCATTGAAGAATAAATACTGTTTCAAGTTTAAAATAATTTCGGCTTCCTCTGTACAATACACAATATAAAGTCTAAAAATAAGAAATCAATCCACTTTTCTTCAAATTCTCTCCACGACCAAAAAAAAAAAAAAAAAAAAAAAAAAAAAAAAAAAAAAAATTAGGGACTTCATCAAGCAATTCTGATCACAACTACATAACTAAAATGGTGATACCTAAGTATTGCTATATTTCTGCCCTATTCAATTATATAAATATACTGCCTCCATTTTTTAAAATAATGACTTGTTAAAATTTACATCAAAAGTTATGTAATGTAAACAAATCGAAGAACAACCCATCAAATATTTTTTTCCTGTCCAGTTTCAGAATATCACTATGTCGTTTCCAGCATTTGTTGGTCCGTTTCTGAACTTTCTACATCTGAACTTTCAACCTCTAAACTTTCGACCCCAGGTAATGGTGGTAGTAATTCATGAAGTCTGAACCTGTCCTTGATATGGGGGCGCACATCCTCATTCTGAAATGTACAAAATTCTGGATACTAGCCATGATTTTAATAAGGTGAAAAGTTATGGTAAGTTGAAAAGTCTGAAGTCTCCATTTGATACAGCGAGCAATATTATTAGAACTCTGAAAATTTTAAATTGAAGATTAGGGAGATTCAAATAAATACCTTCAAAATACAAAACTGGTGGGTGAATAAAAGATAATTTTTATAAATAACAAACTGAAATTGCATTTAAAATGTCATTTTGTTATTAATATTTTTTGTAATTATATTTCAAGATTAAGTTGTTCATTAGATAATTCAATGCAAGAGACCTAAAGTAGTACACTTTGAGAATATACAATGTAATTTTTTTTATATATATTTTTTATAGCCTGGTATATACAATTAGTTTAGGCTCAACTGTAAAGTATACTCCATTGAAATCACGTAAGAATCCAATACTAAACAGCTGTGAAAAGCGATAAACAAATCGAAATATTAACTTTTTTTAAACATCATACCTTATGCACTAAACTTTGTAGAAATGGTACGAGATTGAGTAACTCTCTGTCATCTTTGTCGACAAACCAGCTCTCAATGGGAATTCCATTGGCCAGCTACAATATAAAGACCAGTGCAGGATTAACCTATTACTGCTAGAGTTATCTCTCTTAGATTAAATCATTGACAATAGCTGTCTTTAAACAAAGTTTAATTTCATTGTACTTGCTACCAACACAAATTAATAAAAGAAGTAAGATATCTTTTGGGTACAAATCCCCAGCAACAAAAACAGTGAAGATGACACATGGCTTTTTTTTTTTTTTTTTGCCTGAGTGGCTTCCTACAAGGCAAGATTGAAAACTGACCTGATACCCAAACGCCTGTGGTGAATTGTCTACGATGATGGTTTTTGAAAGGTCACGACCCAGAATGCTTAAATCTTTGATGTAGTTTCCATTTATACACACACAATGTTCACGGAATAACCGATGCCTGTTTGAGAAAAAAGAGAAATTCCTCATTAAACCATTTAAGATCCAAGTAACTTACCATAGTAAAATGAGCATCCTAACATTTTCCAGGCCAACAATAAACAAGAGGCCCATGGGCCACATCGCTCACCTGAGTAACTTTGGCCATGCTGTTCATTACCAGACTCCCCCTTGTAATACCTATTGTGGCCCCACCCTCCCCCCAGGGGCCATGATTTGAACAATTTAGAATCTACACTACCCCAGGATGCTTCCACATAAGTTTCAGTTTTTCTGGTCCAGTGGTTCTTGAGAAGATTTTTTAAAGATTTTTCCTATATATTTCAATGTAAAACTTGGGATTCCCCCTATTGTGGCCCCGCCCTATCCCCTGGGTCATGATTTGAACAATTTAGAATCTACACTACCCCAGGATGCTTCCACATAAGTTTCAGCTTTTCTGGTCCAGTGGTTCTTGAGAAGAAGATTTTTAAAGATTTTTCCTATATATTTCAATGTAAAACTTGTATTTCCTATTGTGGCCCCACCCTACCCCTGGGGGTCATGATTTGAACAATTTAGAATCTACACTACCCCAGGATGCTTCCACATAAGTTTCAGCTTTTCTGGCCCAGTGGTTCTTGAGAAGAAGATTTTAAAAGATTTTTCCTATATATTTCTATGTAAAACATTGATTCCACATTGTGGCCCCGCCCTACCCCCAGGGGTCATGATTTTTACAATTTAGAATCTACACTACCCCAGGATGCTTCCACATAAGTTTCAGCTTTTCTGGTCCAGTGGTTCTTGAGAAGAAGATTTTAAAAGATTTTTCCTATATATATTTCAATGTAAAACTTGGATTCCCTATTGTGGCCCCGCCCTACCCCCGGGGGTCATGATTTTTATAATTTAGAATCTACACTACCCCAGGATGCTTCCACATAAGTTTCAGCTTTTCTGGCCCAGTGGTTCTTGAGAAGAAGATTTTTAAAGATTTTTCCTATATATTTCAATGTAAAACTTGGATTCCCTATTGTGGCCCCGCCTTCCCCCCGGGGGTCATGATTTGAACAATTTAGAATCTACACTACCCCAGGATGCTTCCACATAAGTTTCAGCTTTTCTGGCCCAGTGGTTCTTGAGAAGAAGATTTTTAAAGATTTTTCCTATATATTTCAATGTAAAACTTGGATTCCCTATTGTGGCCCCGCCCTACCCCCGGGGGTCATGATTTGAACAATTTAGAATCTACACTACCCCAGGATGCTTCCACATAAGTTTCAGCTTTTCTGGCCCAGTGGTTCTTGAGAAGAAGATTTTTAAAGATTTTTCCTATATATTTCAATGTAAAACTTGGATTCCCTATTGTGGCCCCGCCCTACCCCCGGGGGTCATGATTTGAACAATTTAGAATCTACACTACCCCAGGATGCTTTCACATAAGTTTCAGCTTTTCTGGCCCAGTGGTTCTTGAGAAGAAGATTTTTAAAGATTTTTCCTATATATTTCAATGTAAAACTTGGATTCCCTATTGTGGCCCCGCCCTACCCCCGGGGGTCATGATTTGAACAATTTAGAATCTACACTACCCCAGGATGCTTCCACATAAGTTTCAGCTTTTCTGGCCCAGTGGTTCTTGAGAAGAAGATTTTTAAAGATTTTTCCTATATATTTCAATGTAAAACTTGGATTCCCTATTGTGGCCCCGCCCTACCCCCGGGGGTCATGATTTGAACAATTTAGAATCTACACTACCCCAGGATGCTTCCACATAAGTTTCAGCTTTTCTGGCCCAGTGGTTCTTGAGAAGAAGATTTTTGAAGATTTTTCCTATATATTTCAATGTAAAACTTGGATTCCCTATTGTGGCCCCGCCCTACCCCCGGGGGTCATGATTTGAACAATTTAGAATCTACACTATCCCAGGATGCTTCCACATAAGTTTCAGCTTTACTGGCCCTGTGGTTCTTGAGAAGAAGATTTTTTAATGACCCCACCCTATTTTTGTCTTCTCTTGATTATCTCCCCTTGTGAGGGGACTTGGCCCTTCATTTTAACAATTTAAATTCCCCTTCACCCAAGGATGCTTTGTACCAAGTTTGGTCAAAATTGGCCCAGTGGTTCTTGAGAAGAAGTCAAAAATGTGAAAAGTTTACAGACGGACGGACAGACAGACGGACAGACAGACGGACAGACGGACGGACGGACGACGGACAAAATGTGATCAGAAAAGCTCACTTGAGCCTTCGGCTCAGGTGAGCTAAAAATTTGTTGCATTCCGATCCACTCGTCAAAACTGCCCTTACCACATTTTTTTTCAGTTCTATAATTTTTTTTTTTTTACTGAAATACAGATTGTCTATATCATTTTGGAAGTTAAGGTTTTATCATTTCTTCAAAACACATTTAGATTGAACCTTAACTAGCAATTATACTAAATCTGTCTAGCTATCTTGTTTATAATGAAAACGTACATAAATTTCTAAAGCGTTGATTTTTATTATGATTATCAATGTGCAAGATAATTTCAATAAAAAGAACACTTACCTACCCACTTTGAAAAATGTTGGTCGGAGTACACCAAACAAAAAAAAAAATTTCAATGATGGTCCCCATATTTTTCTATTGATTTTTGAGATACTGAAGTTAAACTGTACAAACTGCTGTATTCTGTTGTGGACTAAAACACAAATATTCAGTGATTTTCTATACCTGATATGGCCACTTTATTAACTACAGTTTAACTTCGGTATCTCAAACACGGATGTCTCGAATACCATGGATAAGTCGAAGTGAGTTTGAAGCTCCAAAGCACTTATTTCTTCAGTATTTTACTCTGGATATTTCAAATCCTTGGATATCTCGAAGTACTTTCGTGGTCCCGTGAAGTTCGAGATAACGAGGTTTGACTGTACTTACTTTATCAGCTGTTTCTGTGGGTCCAATAGATTCACAAGTTTATCTGCGTAGACTTTTTTGGAGGCTGTGAACAAGATGACTTCAAACATTTCCGAGACCTTCTCAAGGAACTCACGAAAGTGGGGCCTTGTTCTTACAAACACCTAGAGTTAATTACAAAGTTAACATGACCATGTGTCAAGGCTGGCAAATTATTGCTATATTAAGGCAATCTACATGTATATAATTAGGATACCCCTGTACAGTGTACACATGCATTTATTTCCTATGAAGCTTGTAACACGAGATTTGATTGGTTTGTAGGCCAGGTGTAAATTTCCGTACACCGGACTCGAGCCCAGAGTTAATAACATAACGTCACAATGCATAGTTTCTCTATCACAAAAGCAAATAACATGATGTCACGATGCATTGTAGCACATAGTAAAGCTTATCACTAGTTCGAAACACCATTGATTGGAGTTGTGTTTACAAAGAATTTATTTGGTAACATAGGAAATATAATTTGTTATCCAGGTCCAATCATGGGTGTACAGGGATTTACCCTGAGTTGTATTCCATACACCCTTTGGCCTTAACACCCTTGATTGGACCTGGATAACTAATAATGTACTATATATATAGTTAGTGCATGTAATATACCTGGTATGTAACTTCTTCAAACAAAACAGGAAAAGTAAATGCTGCCCCCTCCAGCTCAGTCAGACTGCAGTGGACCAAGGTCTCATCCTGCAGCCAAAATAGAAAGCAAGTCAAGTATAAAAACTTACTACAATGCAAGTCCATAAACAGATACAGTTGAACTTCGGTATCTCGAACACTGATATCTTAAATACCATGGATATCTCAAAATGATTTGGAAGTCCCAATCCTTTATTCTTTATTTTACCCTGGAATATCTTGAATCCTCTGATATCTCAAAGTTTTTCCCCGGCTCCACTGAGTTAGAGATAACTAGGTTTGACTGTATATCTAACCCAAACACTTCCTATACTTTTGCTGTACATTTCATTTTCTTTGCATTACACTGCATTATACTGGTATTTTTTTTTAAAAAAGATATTTAAACAATAAGGTTTCATAGCATGCTCTTATGTAACAGAAGTTTTAATAATAGTGTCTTTAATAATTCTAGTGGGGTCCTGGTTTTAGCAGAGTCAGAGACACATGACGCACAGTGGCTGCAACGTTATTGTTGACAAACCAAACATGTAAAATCGTTTGTGGAATGTGCGTGATCGCTCGTGTAACGTGCATGATCGTGCGTTAAGAAACATGTAAATTTCGTTCTGTAAGCTTTTATCGGAATGTTATTTGAAATGCAAGCATTTCCCTTGTCTGTTTTTTTTTCAAGCCAGATGAAATAAATGGAGTGCGATTTACATAATTGAAAGCAGAACGAACTAATTATCGCTTGGAAATCAGCAATATAGTAAATAGTACAATATTGTGTTCTCGTCAAATAGCATGATTTAAACTTAGATGTTTAAGGATTGTTTCTTTGATGTTAATTATGTTTACTGCTAATTATGGTCAAGATATTTTTAAAATCAATAGATCAAAAATAGATATATTTACAAATAAATAAATAAACAATTCTCAATGCTTACATAAATATTTAGTCTGCGAATGTAAATGTACACGACATGATTGTCGGGGTTTTGGTTATCAATGATTTATCTGGAGCTTACTTTTAATTACTTTTATAATTTCTGCAAATAAATGATATGTAAAATAATTGTTGATTTTAGAGATTCACAAATGGGAACATGGATATAACATTTTCATGCCAATAGGCATTTTTTTTTTTAAACTTATCCCTTTCTGCATATTATGAAATCCAATGCAATCAAAACTCACGGTCCATCTACACGTACATCTTCTGATAGAAGGGGAAAAAAAAATCAGTTTTCTTAAGTCGGAGAATTACGTAAATAATAATTTGTAATCTAAAAAAATTAATAAGTCTTGCATGTATTTAGTTCCAGAAATATCAATTTCTTCTCCTTTTTTTCATTTTTCAAAGTCGATGAAATAATGTCAATAATTATTTGAAATCTAAAAATATAAGTATTAAGCCTTATTTCGTTTTGAAAATATCCATTCCTAAAGAATTTGAACTATTTTGCGTGAAGAATAGTGCGTTTGCGTTAGCAATCGTGTAAGATCGTGCAACGTGTAGAATCATGTTCGTGAAGGATCGTTCGTGTAACAGATTTTATCGTGCGTTAATCGTGCAGAATCGTTCGTGTAACGTGATCCTTCTTGCCAGTTGTCAACAATAACAATGCAGCCACTATACCATATAACAATCATATGTTGTACTTACCAGGTCAAGGACAAGTGAAAATTCTGGAGAACTGCGAGTCTTCAGAGGGAGGGCTGGGTGCTTTGCTCTGAGCTCATCAGTCAAAGGGGGTAAACTTCTGATAAAGAGGAATCTAGTGGGGGAAAAAAAATATCATTTAACCACTTTATCCAGCAGAGCAATTGAAATTAAGGTTTACTGACCACATGATAAGAGAGATAAACACAACACTTACAATTTTATTGATACAATTTTTCCCATCCCCACGCCCCCTTAAGTTTTCTCCAGTTCAAAACATTTTTTTTAGTGCAAAGAGGATTCTTAAAAACGATGCCTTAGAAATTATGCATACTTATACCATTAACTTTTACATAATAAATCTATATTCATTGTCTACAGACTCACGGATCAAACGGTTCAGCCTCAAAGTCGTCCGCCATTACTTCATCTTGATATTCGCCATCATCTAACGCTTCGCATTCGATGGTCTCGGTTTTCCCGCACACGAGATTATTATTGTCCTCCAGAGCTATCTTCTCATTGGTGCAAATGTCAATGGGTACATCAAAGGGCTCTTGGTTTTCTTTGGCTGGAAAGAATGTTAATCCATGAATGTATCAATTTTAGGCAGAAGTACATTTACTCATTTTAGTGATCAAGAAGCCATTTTTCTCACACAGTAGGAAAAAAGATCAATCTATGAATATTCATCTAGTGAAAGATGCATTATTATACATATTTTAGTGAAAGTCAAGCAATTTTTCTTTGGCTGAAGAAAAAAAAATCAATACCTGAATATACATTGAGAACAAGTTGCATTATTTAAACACATAGATGTAAGTGATATCTAAGCCATTTCAAAATACTAACAGGAAAATATATACCCTATAAAAGTTACTACCACTCATTCAATTTCTTATTGGCAGCCTATATGATCTTTAACCTCTGACCCTTACTTGATGAGGCTCCATCTGACTCCTCCCCTTCCTGGTATTCTGTCATGCTCCCAAAATCCAGAGACTTGGCAATAGACTCCAATCCGTCTCTCTCCTCATATTCTGAAATCAAAGCATAGTGGGATAAAAATACCTTCAATAGTAAACCTCAATATCCTACAGATATTCATTCCACTGAATCACAGAAAAATACATGGGAACATTTATAGTGCACAATTTACTGATAGAGATCCAAATAATTATCAGGTTGGTGGAGCTTTCTGTTTCCAATCTCTTTCCACATTTGCCTTTTCTTTCTATTGTATTCACCTACAGGTGTCAAAATCTCAGATTTTACAAGATTCTGTGATGCACATCTCCCCCCCCCCCCTCCTTTCCTCGAAACTTACACAGTGTAAACACAACTTAGTAAAAATAAAAAAGAGTAAGTAACTACCTTCTTCATACAACTGGTGATAGACAGGAGAAAAAATGGTTCCCAGCATTGGAATTCTGGGAGGAGAGCCAGTTTCTGGATTTTCTTTCAAGATTTTCAATGGCTTTTTGTGTGCAGCTGGAAATAACGACACTGAAATTTAATCACTCACAATGTATGCATGTATTACATAAATATTATATATATACTGTCAACAAGAGGCCCATGGGCCACAGCGCTCACCTGAGAAACTTAGGTGAGCTAAAAAAGCAGCATCAGCATTCTTTTAAAATATCCATTTACACACTCAGTAAACTTAACATTGTTTAGGGGCCTGGAATTTGCTAGTAATAATTTCATTCATTTTCGTTTGGCAACTTATAACAGGTGTTTGAATTGAATTTGTCAAGATGGGATCTCACGGAGAATTTGGCTGGTGGATCATACCTGCTTTGCTAGTGTCAGGGACGGAGGATATGAAGTTTGCTGATGATGGTTCCTGGTTGTCAATGGTGATAGGTATTGATATTCCACCTTTCCGTTGTCTTCTAGGGGGGGTTTGCTGCAACTCCTAAAAATAATCAACCATGGAGGAAGCCTAATTAAGTAGCCTATTACTGAAGAACATACTTTAAAAATTGAATTTTGCTATCATGAATGCCGACATGTAAAATACTAGGCATACATGTGTAATGTTCGAGAAATTGAGACCGCCGTCCCAACTAGTTTCTTTCCAAATTTCAACTTTGTTATCTTGAATGACATCTTTAAAGTTTTCACCCCTACTAAATTTTAAATACAGTTTCAAATGTGTGTCTTTGATCATGCTAAAAATAGTGCATTTTGACTTATCAAGTGGAACTTACTGTTTTTGGAAGCAACTAGACTTCAGAGGTGGATCTTAGCAATGCTTTAGAGTACCTGAACTTGAGAGGTAGATCTAATATGATCAATTATTCTTTAAATTACCTTGACTTGAGAGGTGGATCTAATATGATCAATTATTCTTTAAAGTACCTTGACTTGAGAGGTGGATCCAGCCTTCATTGCTTTCTTTCCCTGTGGTGGAGCAGCATCTGTTTCCTTCCGCCGTTTCCTTATTCTAGTGGTGGCCGTCGCCACACCACCGCCCAACTTGCGGCGTAGCTGCATATTGTCCTTACCACTACACTCCAAAGGCATACCTGAAGAATAAAATCACTTGCTCAATCACAATTGTTTGAAAAATGCCATACATTCTCAGGACTTTCAAAAAGATGAGAAGCAGGTGGTACTTTTATAAAAATAGGAGGTACCCTGTGGAAGTGAATTTAATTAAATATGTTTAATAAAAGAATTTTTCCCCATCAAATATTTTGGCCGGTATAATCATGATTTGAGACTGGTAAAAGTAGCGGGTACTGGCAGATTTTGAAAGGCCTGCATTCTCTTGGGAAAATCTAACAATATCTTGTTAATGACCTCTAGCTGTCATTTCTTAATTAGCTCATCCTTTACTACCCCACATGTAACATCTTTTGGAAAGGATACCATTTAGATATAGACAGAGGGTGAAGTACCCTCAATACCTGTCTAGAACCTGGAACAGATAGCTGGGATAAACTCTGCAGAAATACATGAAGAAAGGAATTTGTCCGTATTTCGTAATAATTATTTATGATTTGCTATCTCCTTATATCATTATTGATCAGTTTTAATTCAAAACAGTTAAAATACAATCTTTGGTGACTGAAATTCCCAATTTTTTCACAGAATGATAAGAAAAACAGCCTGACTGATACATATTGGAAGTTAAAGTTAATTTTTCAATACCATACATTCTTGAATATTGATACGTATCGATATATTGATTCAGCCCTACAAGAACCTGGCCAAGCTAGCCCCCCTTTCCAAGTTACTCCCTAATATTTACATGTAAGGGGTCTTAAGATGTATACATCTTCAAAACACTATATACACAAACACTTCAGGTTCATAAACCCTCTTCTCACTTAAATAAAATGTCGTTTTAACTCTAATGATTTTCCAAAAGAAATGTGTTTTACAAGTAAAATAAAAACAATTGTGGGGCGAAATTGGACAAAAAAGACTTTTCAATTTGGCAAATTTATAAAGGAATTATAGACCTTTACGTCATTAAGAGTTATCTCTCTTATCAGAGTATCAATGAACCTTAACTGGATGTAGTTATGGTAAATATGTAAAAATACTTACATTCAAACTTAAATCTTAATATTATTCTTGATGGTTAACAGACACAATTTTAGACTAAGTCTTGTTTATTATCTAAGTATGCAGTTAACAGAGTACTATGGAACAGAACACATGTTGTCGCAAAGATAAGACTAAATCGATCGAGAGGTGAGGTCCCACACTGGTCTCTGATTGGTCAGTTATTGGGCCATAATCTTGGAATAAATGTATCTACGCATGTTTTGAAGCAACCTATATATTGTAGCTACAGTTAATATTTTGATAATAATTTTGTAAATAGTCTACATTTATGTAAATTGTCAAGTTCTGTTGTTTTGTTTTGTTTTTTTTTTTTTAAAAAGATCCCTCTAGAATTGTTTGTAAATAAGTAGAACAAATTGTTCATGTGCATTTATTAAAGCATACACATAATATAATAATAATTCTAGTAAGAAGTAAATGCGAGCATGGAGCATTGTCTTACAAGCAAAAAAGAATGAGCAGATATAATTTGTCTGATTATCTTTGTAAGGTAATAATAACCATTCATTTTAACATGTTCAACTTTGAACCTTCTTCTTCTTGTTGTTCCCTTTGTGGAGTGTACTCAAACTGAGTGTCAATACTCCAGCAATTCTGTGGTGAACAGTTAAAAAACCTATGTACATTTAAAATGGGTAAAAGGTTAAAAGTGGACAGATTAGTGGAGTAAAATCTCAGACACGGTGATGGTCTGTATAGCATGTCTGAAGGTGTCCACTGATGAAGAATTCCTAATTGTGGCTGGTATATTGTTCCATGCTATGATAGTTGCTGGCATAAATGAATAGGCCTACTTGTAGACATCAACCCTGGTGCTGATTTGGCTGAATTTGTTTGCCAAAGAACCACAGGTTCTGCTATTGGCGACATGTAGCATGTGATGTACTGGAACTTTCACAATGGAACTCTACATAGGCAATATAACTCTAAATGAATAATATACCAGGAAGGATTTTTTCTTCATTTTTCCTGCTTTTACATGTAATGAATTATTAAATAAACAAACACACACAACTTCGTGGTTGTTGTAATTAATTATTGTGAGTTGGAATCTAATAAAAATTTTTTTTCCAAAGGTCAGATATTCATTTGTCTTTAATTCTATAAAAGCTTAATTAAGATGCTTCAGGAAAAAAAAATACACTAGTTTTGCTCTCTACAAACACTTGTGACAAACTTGAAAATCAAATGTCCACCGTCCCGTCTCGTGATTACGGTAAGTTTGCATTGAGATCAAATTTTTACTAAATCAAGGAAAATTAACTTTTTTCGCATTAATTAGGATCCAAAACAAGTTCGCGACCCCGTCTTGTAGGCATGAAAGTAGAAATTTGGGTCACACAAACAAATTGTGACGTCACAAATCGAAGAGTATGATTCATCCTTACATTTCACATCTAATTATTGATAATTTCAAAATCAGCAACAATGACTTTTCCTGCAAACTATTCTGTGCGTATTTTTATTTGTTTTTAATTAATACAAACTAATAAGAGCCTGCAAAACATTCAAGGTCACGCTATCTAGAATCTGTCCCAGAAACGAAATGCAAATTGGGGATTTTACCAGTGTGAACTCTCGCGAGTTTTCGTCTATTACAAGCATTCAAATTCTCGGGCCGGGTATGGATATTATTTAGTAACACACCTTAATCTTTTTATAAAACCGCCCAAAGAAGATCTGCCTTAAGTATTTAAAATATAAAATTGCACGACACTGTTTGTAAAAGAGAAAACTTACCCTAAACTTGTAGTTGTGTTTACATCACTCCATTTCGCGCGTAGGATCAATTCCCCGGATGTAGGTCAGTGCGCAAAACATCCTGCTCACAATCCGAACCCGATTTTATTTCTCTCACCTGGCAAAAATATATATGTTTGTAAAATTTTACAGAGAAACACAGGCAAGCGTGGATTCATGAATTTTTTTTCCAAGGAAGGGGGTCCATCCCAGTCAAATAATTCTAATAAAAAAAAAAAAATTCTTCACAAGCAAAAAAAAAAAAAACAAAAACAAAAACAAAAAACAAACACCCCCCCCCCCCGATCCGCGCATGTCGGGATGATGATGATAATGACCACTACGCTAAAAATGTATGTTTTAATTAATTGACTAATTAATCAATTTATTTATTTGTTTATTCATTTATTTTATTTCATTCATTCATTCATTTAGTCGTTCATTCATTCATTGATAACGTTAAATCAATTGCACAGGCCCGTAGAACGCAAGAAGGGAGGGGGGAGGGGGCCGCCCTCTTTTTTTCTGAGTATATTTTTTGTTGTTACAGGATTTGGACACTAAATTAGTTTTTTTTTATTTGCTTAATTGTCAGATAATTTTGGGAAGTCGGCTCCCTACTTTTGATCAGTTTATTTATTTATTATTTATTTATTAATTTTTTTTTTTTTTTTTTTGCTTATTGTCAGATTTTTTGGAAGTCCCCCCCCCCCCCCCCGACTTTTGAAACCGTTGCTACGGATTGCATGAAGAGATAGATTTTTTTCATTAGGAGTCTACGTCTGAAATTTTTTGACCAGCGAAAAGAAAAGAAAAAAGAAAAATCCAAACTGAAAACCCGAACAAGTCCCCCCCCCCCCCCCCCCGAAAACTATTTCGTGAAGAGGGGATGGGGTGGGGACGGGGATGCTGAAGGACAAGTCACTTAATAAATGACCTTACCACTTTACCAGGGGTCCGTGTTTTCCAAAGGGTCTAATTAAGGTCATTTTTAGTTACTTTACGAAAGGAATTAAACAACTCTAGCTGTGACTCATCCCCCTTTTGATCCGCCCATGAATTGATCATGCTCCAGCTAACAACCAACTCGACATGCAGCTGATTATAAACGATAGTACATACTCAAGCAGTTCTTTTCACTCTTTAAGTGGAAAGGTCTAAAATTAGTAGCATGCATATTATTTCTATTATACATGTATGATAACCCTGATCAAGTGAATAAATCATGTATCACCCTAGCTGTAATCATAGTAAGTAGAAACAAGATGCGTTTGTGAAACACTAATTACCCGATGGTAACACGATTCTGGAGTGGGACGTAGACTACAGTGCTACAGACTAGAATGACAGTCCATTATGCACTGTGGAAAAATAGAAGACGCATATTATTACTTTTTTCCTTGTGCGAAATACACTGTCCCAAGAAACGATTTGTTTAATGCTATTTTTAGAATGATTAATTTACGTATTGTAGACACTCACGTACTGTTATGGGGAGATGATTCGATTAGCATTTCTGAAAAATGAAAGTTTATTTTTAAATGTGCAAATGTTTATTAAGAGATCTGGTCGTTTTTGAATTTATATATTTAGATTCATTTGTACATACTACATCAAATCAATTTTGTACATGTATAACCTATGTAAGATAATCATATTGACCTTTGGTTCCAGTGTAGTTTAATTTTTTAACATTATTTTGTGTAATGAATTGTTATAAAGGAGAGGACGTTCTAAGTTTTAAGAACTTGTGTCCGATCCTTTTGTTGTAATATCTAAACAATAAAATATGTTCAAACCTACAGTGCAATAGTAGTTATGGCCTATGTTAAAGTTTTTCAAATGTAGGTCAAAGGTCACAGTTGAGGTCACATGATCAAAAATTTCTGTACCAATGGAAAAGTCTTGTCATAATGAACACTCATGTCAAATATTAAAGCTTTACCCTTGACAGCGCAATAGTTATGGGCTAGGTAAAAGTTGACAACAGACAGACAGACAGACAGGACAAAAACAATATACCCCCGGGATCTTTCGATCCAGGGACATAAAAATAACATGCATTAGTACATCCGCCGCAACAGGTTCATAATTATGTCATAGACTATGATAGAGTGATACATATACTCAATAGAAAACACACCTTTTCGCCTCTCATATCTATATTTGAGATTCATTGAAAAATAATTCTAGATAACATTTTGTTTGTTTGAAAAAGCTGTAAAATGACTCTTTATGTCCAACTGATCTCATTTGATAAATATAAGCATCTATAACTGTTAAACAGGCATACATGTAACTCCTTTGTTATATCTAGTATATGTTCATGTATTTGTTATTCGACAGTTGAAAATTAAAGCATCAATAGGAAAAGGCAGGTGGAAAATCTACTCCCGACCTCTTATATTCCGTCAATAAGTTGTAAGAGTTTTAAAAAACATGAAAAGGATGAGTAAAAACTTAATTGTTTATACGTACCATACGAAAGTATGAATAGCAGGCCCATAGGAAGCAGTTTAAGTTTCTGGATGGGGGCACAACCAAGCATTTTCAGTTGGGGCGGGGGTGCCACCAAGGAAAAATTCCTTGACAAGCAAAAAGTCGTTATTATTGAGGAAGTAGCTATGCTTTCTATAGTATTTTATATATCGGCAGAATTGATTAGTATAGTTGATTTAAACACATCCACACTCTTGTAATTTTTTTTTCTAAAAAGATAATTTTTGGCCATGACTCGACAAATGAACATTTTTTAAAAAAATATTTGCCAGGCACTGAATATGTACATAATTATATGAAACTGAACAAATAGTAGGACTTTATTCATTGTATCAAAAATCCATAAAAATGGGAAAGTTTTCATCCCCCCCCCCCTCTTCCTCCTCGTCTGTGTCACAATCTATAAATATAGGTCGTGTTATCAACACTGAGTGCGTTCACAGTTCTTCCGGCTCCATTGGTTGATAATGATGGTACAATTGATCACTGGCAAAACATTGGTAGCAGTGTTGACTATTGGTAACATTTATTGGTTACTAATTTCTGCAGGCCAACCGTATTCGCGGGTTTTCAGTTTACTGGAGTCACTGAAAAGACAGCGAACATTCCTGGTAGAGTGATTTTTTGTCACAAATAATACCACTTCAGATGAATGTAATGAGAGAAGACTCTATAAGTATTGCACATGTACAAATGAACGCTTTTTTGGCAAAAGAACATCATCTGATGACAAGTGGTCAAATAAAGTCATCATGTCCATGAGATTATAGTTGCATTTTGATTCCGTATGGTAACACATAGACTTCTTGTTGACTTTGTTATATCTGAAAATGATGAAAACATTAATTTGCCGGTAACCATTGATTACCTTTGGTAACCATTAGTAACCAGTGGAACTATTGATCACCTTTGGCAACTGTTGGTAGCCGTTGCCTGTTATCTTGTCATTGGTCACAAATTGAATATGCCGTGCACAGTTTTAATATAACGCAACCAACTACACCATTGTTTTACGTTCATACCAAAGAAACCAATGACAAAATCGATATTTGTACCAATGGAAAAATGTTAAGAGTCTTCCACACGGCCCCAGCTTATGATGTCATGTTAGTGTGCATTACTATTAACAATCTTTTAAACTGGCTAGGAATTGAAACATACATTTATACAAATTCAATTTTCTTTAGTTTTAAGATATTTTTCTCAAGAGTAGCATAACAAGTTTTGTTTTTTCCTGGAATATATTATTAAACTCACAAAACTATGGAATTCCATATCCGACAGCCAACTGCTTATTGTCAACTGCTTTCTGCCAACTGCTTATAGATGATATTGCCTATATTTTGATATCTTAATATCTTTAATACGCATGCTTGAATAAGTCCTATGAACATGTTTGAATGATTTTTTATATCTATGTAGAAATTTTTGTGAATTTTCATAAAACATAACTTATATGGAAAAGCGAAGAAAGTTAAGTCTATAATTTTGGGAAAACTTGTGTTTATCACCATATAAATCAACGGAAAACGGATACTTATTTTCATCACAATACCCCCCCCCCTTCCGTGAAACAATAATTTTTATTTTTACAGGTATTATGAATTGTCATTTTACAAATTCATACCTAAGTTGTTTTTTTTTTTTTGTTTTACGGGGTGTAATAACGCAATAACGCCTTTTTTCGCGTTTTTACGCTTTTTTTTCTCGCGTTATAACGCCTTTTAATTCTTTTTCTCCATAGATTGATCCTAACAGGATTTCATATGAAAGGAGTTGTAAATAAGAGCAATTAACTTTTTACACTGGTTTTAAAATTATTAATCCATTACAAATTACCTTTTCTTTGCATTCAAACAAGTTCTAATAGCCAAATTCCCATTAATATTGAATCAAATGAATGTAATATGTAAACGGGGATTAGCGTTAGTGTCTGTAGTTATTACAATATTGAAAAAAATGCTGATTTAGGAACTTTAGCTGAAAGGGAAGAGTAAATCGAAAGAATTCGTATTTCTTCTTAAAAATAAAACGTTTAATTCCCACATTTCCTTGCTGGCAAATAATTCAATGGCTGTTTTGAAGGGGGGGGGGGGGTGTTTCACAATACGACAAAAGAACAAACCTTTAGTAGAGTCTTAATAATAATTTGGAGGTAACATTTGTTGATATATGTATTTAGACTAGAAATATTACTGAAAATTATGACATAATTTTTGCTGGAGTAAAATATCTAGTAATATCTTAAGATTTAGTGCTTCTTTTTACCCTATGAAAGGTACCTGTATTTGTGAATTTTTTATACGTGTCTTATTTAAATCGTTTTAATGGATAACCTTAAATCTGTAAAAAAGAAACATTGGTGGTGGTGGCTAATTTGTGGGTTTCTCCAATAAATTGCCAACATATAATATACAGTTACTGTAGTGCTCCCTTAATAATGGCGCCTGTGACCTTTTTTATTACTTGTCAATTATTGACGATATCGCAACGGATGATTAAGCATAAATAAACTAAAACATCATCTAATAGATATACCTGTTTTTACGAATTATTATGCTACAAAAACTTCAAGGTCTGCTCTTCTTTTAT